AAAAATTTAAGTTAGAGGAGGTAAATTTTTAAAATTTTTTGTATGACTTTATTAGTTTATATTAGTATAATTTAAATTAATTATTAATTTTATACATGTATTACTGATATTATGCACATAAAAATATAAATTAATTAGATATATTTAATTTTTTTTAAATAATTTATAGTTTAAGACCCTCAAATAAATAATATATTACTGATATTATGCACATAAAAATATAAATTAATTAGATATATTTAATTTTTTTAAATAATTTATAGTTTAAGACCCTCAAATAAATAATATAAAAGTATAGTTAATTTTTTTTAATGGTTATATATATTAAATCAGCTTTAAATTTGAAACATATGATCTACATGAATTGAATAAATTCAACCTTTGGTTTAATATATATAATTAAATTGTACAAAAAAATTATATATAATTAGTATAAAAAATTATATAAATTACACCATTATAATTAGATATTGACTATTTTTTAAATATTTTTCTTAAATAAAATTGTCATGTCTTGAGAATTAGCCACAAAGAGAGAAATGATCCATTTGCTTAGGTGCTAAATATATATATGTATATATATTTATATTTATATATTTGAAATGGTTCCTATAATTGAAACTTCAATATATAAAATTTTGCAAAGATCAAAAATCAATGTGCCATATTTGACATTTTTCAAAAGCTTCTTGTCCTACACTAACTTCTCCCTAGATATGATACGCAAACAAAGTTATCAATACGTACCGGTATGTATTTTAGTTTTGCTATTAAAACAATATATATTAGATATGATACACCCAAATTTGACCAAAATGAACAGTATTTGACCAAAATAAAATTTAATTTTATGCAATTTTGGATGAAACCTAAAACTAGTATGTACCATGACCAGTACAAAAACAGTATTGATAACCTTGTACACAAGTGATTCTGAACCGCGTGCGTATAGTCTACTTCAAGAACTTACCAAGATTGCTCTTCTATTTTTTTCCACATTCTGGGTAAACTTCATCACGAATGCTTATGTTTCCCACAAATTAATGCTCTATAAATTAAGTTGCATATTTCTCCAAAAATAGAAAGAAAATGGAAAAAAAAACAATGCTCCCCTATCGGTCAGTCCTCAACAAATTTTCTTCAGCTTCAATTCTTCTCTCCTTTGAACCGAGCATGTAGTGTGGATTGACCATTGGCTCCTCCAACTACCTCTTGGCTACAATCTCAAAGTTGTGTCTGCTTAAAAAAACCAAAAAAAAAACATCTCCTTTTATGTGGTCGGAATAATATAATATTAAAAAAAATGTACAAAAAGTATCTTAAACTCAATCTATTTTATGGACGTGGTTATTGCTACATAAGAAAATGTTATTGTTACACAAACAATCTTTTTTTTTTAACAAGAAGTTATGGTATAATTGGATGCTTCAATCTATTGATTGATTTTAATCTATTAATTAATTAATAAATATAAATATTTTTAGTTATCGATTAATATTTACAGCTATTACTGTTAAATCAAATAGAATTAGTGTTTTAAAGAAAAAAAATATTGAAAAATTTGTAACCAACATTTTTGTATGTGGCAATAATTACACTCAATCTGTCTTAGATGCTTTAATTTTGTTTTTATCTTTATATTATAAATTTGGAGATAATTTTTGTTTTTACTTATATTACCCTTAAAAAAGAAACAAAAAAATTTTATAATAAGATGAATAATTAAATTTAAGAAATAATAATAAAGCTAAAATAAGAAAAAAAATAAGTCTCATTTTAAATATGACAAAACAACTATAATATTTATTCTAGGACAAATTTTAAATAAATAAATAAATAAACCTTGAGTATTATTTGGGAGAGGGAGTAATAAAAAAACCAAAATAAGGTTGAAGCAATGATTATTTCTTACTATTTTTTTTAATTAGAATTTAAAATAGATAAATTTTAAGATTGATATTTTTCATTTAAATTAAAAAGGAGGCAAGGAATAACCATGATATAATATGAAATGATCAAGGAATAATCATTTTTCCAATCAAACTATATATATTTCGCTGAAAAAAAAAAAAACATGATTAATTATATGACTACAAAAAACAACATTTACAAAATTCACACAAAACTTTCAGAATCGTCAGTTTGGTTTGAGAGGAGAGAGGAAAAGAGGGGTCTAAAATTTTAATTTGATAGGATGAAATGATTTCTTTTCATCTACCCTCTATTTCATTTGATTCAAACTTACCTTAGAGTCTGTTAATTTCAGGGAGACAAGGAGAAAAAAAAAATTCATCAAATCAGATTAAGAAAAGCAATAATCCCCAATACATCCAATCTCTCCCATGAAATTGGAACTCTATAATTTTTGTCGTTCAAGACTTCAAGTGATAA